CATTTAAACAAAATTGTTGACGGACAACCCTGTTCAAAACCCTTTTTTTTGTATTAAGAAAGAAAAAAAGAAAGAAAAAGAGAAAGAAAATAAGACAACCCTGTTCAAAACCCCTTTTTTTTTGTATTAAGAAAGAAAAAAAAAGAAAGAAAAAGAGAAAGAAAATAATTTATTTTGTTGTCAAACATGTATATTTGTTGAATGGTGATTAATCTATTGTCCATAATTAATCCTGCCTGATTGGGTCCTTTTGAATATATAACGTTGCATGATACCAAAATCCTTGTGGAAATAATGGCCCAAATCTTTTTGTGCAACTATACATGCACACAGCTCTTGGTTGTGCATGTGGTGATTGTTCTAGTGCTGAGGTGGAAGTGCTATCTCTGAAAATTCTTTCTCTTGTAGCAAAAATGCTTCTTTTCATCTACCCAAAGTAAAACATAACCTGCAGAAAAAGATAATTTGTTTTTAAAAAAACTATTATTGGGTTTGATTTGATTCAGAATAAAATAACAAACTCTTCCACTACTGTCTTATCCCACTGTTATTTTCTATAATTAGTTATATTGGCCTGAATCTAAGGCTCTTTTCCTCTAATCATGGAAAGAGTCTGATGAAGGAAAATAAGCTGGCTGGCTTTAATGTTATGTGGGAGTGCTATACAGTACTTTTGTTCCATACCACCCCATTTTCTGGGTACATCTAGAACTGTAGCTGGGTCTTTCTCGTCTCCCTGTTGATACTTATATGAGGACATGTGGATCAGTATGTTCTGATATTGCAACTAAGGAGAAAGCATGGTTATGTAGCTATTTACTGTTTGCTCACTTCTGGGACTAAGCCCTTTTGAGGATAACAAAATGTAAACATATATGGAATTGCACTGCACACAAGGAAATGGTGGCAGGAGATCTTGATCTCTAAAAATAAAACCCTGCTATGCGAATTCACATTGCTTTTACTCTGGTCTGGCTGAGTATGGAAGGGTGCAAGGTGAATGAATGTGTCCAAAACCTCTGGAAGGTCCTTTTTTTTTTGCTTTGGAGATTTTAGTAAGCCTTACTTGCATTCTTTAAAACATATGAATGTGGTTATGGGGATTAGAAATAAATACTACATTGAAAGAAGTAGAACAGTGAATTCAGGCTTACGGTTTGTTACCTCTATTTGGGTGCACCAGAAAATCCATTTCTGTGCCAAGAAAGCTAGTGTATAAACTCTTCCAGGTTGAGTGTATAAACTCTTCCAAGTTGGAGAAACAAACCATTAAAATTGTAATACTTTTAAAAAGCCAATGTAGTGGAGGGAAAGGAGATGTGTCATGCACGCTCTTTCACCCACTCCACAGCGTAGTTTGATTTGCTTCCAAAATGTCACCAACATAACAGAAACTGTTTGTCTTCTAAGGAACTCATTCATTTTCTAATTCTCTGCAACTGATGTTCTAAAATTCTACACAGTCACATCTATGCTTTTTGTCTTTTGTTTTGTTTTGCTTAATGAAAACTGATGTGATTAAAAGCAAGGTGTGTTTGAATTATTTCCAGCCTACAGTCTTTAATCTTACGTCCCAAATATTCCTACCAAACCTATCTGTGTATTTAGTCCATTTTTGAACAGATGCATGCTATCTGATGCTACCTTGTTTCAGACAAAATAAATAGGAAGAATGGAATTAGCCGCAGAATTCTATTATCAACATTTCATTTTACCGCCCATGTCAGAATACTAAATATGCAAGCAAAAGAGGGCAATCAAACTAATAACTTTATTATTTTCCTATTTTATCGTAGCCCTTAAACTATCTCCAAATATAAGTAGTTTGGATAGCCTTGATGTCAGGTCCCGTGGATTAAAAGTGCTGCTGCTAAATGCAGGTTGGTAAATGGGAAAGCGACAGCTATCCAGGACTTGATCCTGAAGGAGCATGCTGTCCTATCTTGCATTAGGGAGACTTGGTTGGATGAGGGTTGGGGTTATTCATCTCATTTAGCTTTGTCCACCAGGGTTCTCTGTGCAGTAGCAGGCAAGACCTGAGGAGGTGGAACTGCAGTGGTTGGTCACGATTCCATCTTTCTCACCTTGTTTTCCAGGTTTGAGTGTTTCATCTGAAAGTGAGTATCTGGAGGCTGGAACAGAATAAGGATTCTGTTGGTTTATTGCCCACCTAACTGCTCAACAGTCTCCCTTCCTGAGCTAGTTGAGCTGTTCCCGGAGGTGATCTTTGAGTCTCCTTGGCTTGTTGTGATAGTGGATTTCAATGTCCATACCAAGGCAGTTTTCTCAGGAGTGACTCAGGACTTCATATCCTCCATGACATCCATACTGGCCCCATCCATGCTACTGGGCACATTTTAGACCTGGTCTTTCGTACTGGGATAGATGATGGTGATCTACGTAGGTGTGGAGTAACTCGGCAGTTCTGTTGTCATGGACAGGTCATTGTCTGGTGTGGTTTAGACTCATTGGAACTCAGAGCCTCTGCAGGGGTGGGGGTGGGGCTATTAAGATGATCTGGTTCAGGAGGCTGATGGATCCAAATGGTTTCCTGACAGTTTTGGGGGAATTTCCTGTCATTTCAGCAGGCGATTCTGTCAAAGCCGTGGTTGACCTCTGGAATGGGGAAATGACCAGGGCTGTTGACATGATTGCTTCTAAGCTCAACTTCCATGAAGTAGAGTCAAACTGCCCCCTTGACTTTTACTGGTGAGCTGATGAAGTGAGTGGAACAGAGAATAGAGTGATGATGGCAGAAAACTCAAGAGTGAATGCAGCCGAACATGGGCTACAGAAGGCCTACTTGTGGTTGACCTCTGGAATGGGGAAATGACTAGGGCTGTTGACATGATTGCTTCTAAGCTCAACTTCCATGAAGTAGAGTCAAACTGCCCCCTTGACTTTTACTGGTGAGCTGATGAAGTGAGTGGAACAGAGAATAGAGTGATGATGGCAGAAAACTCAAGAGTGAATGCAGCCGAACATGGGCTACAGAAGGCCTACTCCATGGCAGTGGTGGTATAAAAGAAGTCATATTCTCTGCCAACATTGCATCTTCACAGAGTTAGTGGAGCTCTTTTGAGTGGCCAAGAGCCTATTTCATGCTATTATATCCTATTACATAGGATTAGAATGCAAATCACAATGTAGCCTGTTATGAAGAATTTGCGCAACACATTGCAGGCAATATTGCCCAGATCTGCTTTGATTATAATGCTGTTTGTACTTTATTGCTTTAAAATATTTTTTGTGATGTTTTTATTTAAACATTATAATAATATGTTTATTTAATGCTTTTTCAATATTTGAATAACTCACTGTTTTTAGCTTTTAATGTTTTTAATGATGTAAGCTGCCTTTGATCCTGTTTAAGGAGAAAGGTGGTGTAAAAAGATTTCAAACAAACAAACTGAGTCAAAATGCCAAGTTCTCGCATGTATTAGTTCAGTGCTATCATAAATGCTCTGGCAGCCAAGCCTTGATTATTCCTCTACAGATTTTTCCCCCCATGGTGGGGGTTGAATTGACAATGCTTCATGTTAAAGTTCACTAGAGGGCCATTGTAGGCCAGAACTACTACCAAGTTTTGAGATGCTGTACCTTATTGCAACCACCACCATGCCTTCAGAATGTTGTTTAAAATAAAATGGGGTGATAATATGGACATTGCACTGGTATCAAACCCACCATATCTTGGTGCAGCTGCATAGGCTTTACTCATGGAAAAAGAATGTTAAATTATGCCACCCTTCACCATTGGCTCTCCTGGCTAGAAATCATAGGATCTGTAGCCTACGAATGTTGTGTGGGTGGAGTGGGTGGGACTACAGTTTGCTTAAACTTAATTTAGGGTGTGATTACACATTGAAATACTCCTGTTTTTGCATTGGGTTTGGCTTGATTGAAATGGAATAAAAAATCTCCAGCTACATGATGTGCAACATAAACACTTGCTTGGGGATTGTTTATTGTGAATTGATTCTGATCACACTTTCTTTTACTCAATTTGACATGTGTGATCACCTGTATCAGAGTAAATAGTGTTTGTGAGGTCTGTGGAGTTTGCTGAGTACAAGAGGTTTTTGATTGCAGAATACTCTGCAGTATGAAAGCTTCCTCCCCTCCATTTGTTTCTGTTTTAGTGCAGCATTAATCTAGCTTTATGCTAGTTCAAAACTTAAACATTGGAAAAATTGATTTACCAGATACGACAATTTTTAAGAGGACAGAGCAAATGTCTGTTAGAGTAGTTGTCAGCGGTAGATTGCTGATGCTGGCTTTGTTGAACAGAAGCTGCTGTGTTTTAGCATCAGGTGTCTTGAGCCAGACCAGCTCTGTCTCAAGAACAGGCTGAAGAATTTAGTTCCTGATACAGAGCAAAAACCCAGAAAACAGGGATTCAGAATGCTGACATGCCAATGTACCACATAATTTACTATTGGTCTAAAAGTTGGCCCGTGTTGATGCACACACCGACGCACAATCCACGTGACATTAAATTTATTTCAAAAAACTTGAACCAACTTCTGATTTAATTCAGTTCAGCAGTGTGGTCATAACCTTCAGTGTTCAATTGGTTTGAGGTTAGATTTCAAACAATAGGTTTTCAGCCTCCCAATCAGATCTGAAAAGTCCAGACTTAAAATAATAAGATATGGCTGAATTTGTACTTAAGGAGTATTTTGACAGACAGACAGACAGAAACCTTTATTGGCATACTGTACAAAATTAAAACACACTAAGATTCAAATAAAACGTTCAGCAGCTAACATGTGGCAGGGAACAGCCAAATAACATTGTTAGGGCTCGGCATTCTGTGACAGCATGATGCGTCGCCTCTGCATGATGGAGTAGATGTATCTGGCTGTTGTCAGGGTAAGTTCCTTAATAGTGCCACCTAGGAGGGGTCAAATTTTTCTCTAGTTGTGACTTACTATTGAATTCCAGCCATTATGATTTTTCATCACTGCATTATTTTTTCCCCTTCTTTTCTTTTACAGTCCTTTCAGGGAAGCCAGGGACGAGCCTACCTCTTTAATTCAGTGTAAGTACCATAACAGTTCTTTCGATATATGGAATAGAAATTGTTTAGTGAAAGATAGCATATTGACTTGGTTTAGATAAGGACATAAGAAGGCCCTGGGACTGGATCAGAGCACAGCTCCTTCCATGCTGTTTTTCATCACGTCCATGTCTGGAAGGCCATAAGCTGGCGCCCTTTGAGTGCAGTTGGCTTGAACTTTCCATCATCTCTAGCTAGCATAGGCAATGGCATCATAAGTTATTGTGAGAATTTGTATTCTTTTCTTGCAGACAACTAGGCATTAACACGGTGATGGTGGAGTGGAGAACGCAATGAAATAGGTGACATGTATTTTATTTTATTTTTCTTACAGGGTAAATGTCGGCTGTGGTCCTGCAGAAGAGAGAGTTCTTCTGACAGGCTTACATGCAGTAGCAGATATTTATTGTGAAAACTGCAAAACCACTCTTGGATGGAAATATGTAAGCAGTTACCCATTTTCAGGCGTTCTGTATTTGCAACCACTTGGTTCTTTTGGTTCGATAGGAGAGGATTTGGGCCAAAGATAGAATGGCTGGGTCTTGCTGTGTCAATCCATGATGCCTTTTGTCCTTGCCAGACTTGAATTTGAATCCCCTGACTCTGGCTCAGGAGGAGAAGGGATGGCAATTGGAAACTGCTGCCTCTTGCCTTACTTTTGGTATTGCTTGCAGCCTTTGAGAGGCTGGGGGAAAACATGACCTCGACTAGTAGTAGGAGGAGGAGAAAGGGCAAGGGATTCATTGGGCCAGCCCCTGTGAACTGTGGAACATTTCTTACATTCAACCCCCAACATAGATCCTGCTTATTTGAGTGGAGAGTTCTTAGGTAAGCAGGTTTCAAAAGAATTGTATTTGTGACATTAGCTTTGGCTTCTCCAGGAGGGATCTTGTTTTTGGTTCTAAACTGAGCTGAATTCCTGTGACGTATTTTTGTTTGCTGTTAGTCGCATGTTTCTCCCAGAAGGTTAGGTTATTATTTATCAGAAGTAAGTCTGTAATACTGTCTCTTTGTAGGCATTTTTAGGAGAAGCATCTGGTTGCTCAGGTAGAACTGATGTGCCAGGACCCTGGTGGGGCTTTTGATCATTTTTCAGATATGCCAGCTGCTTGAGGGCTGTATTTCCTAACTTGCATGGTTTAATTTTCCTAAAAATAATGCAGTGGTTGTATGCTATAGAAGTTGATTCAGTGGGTTTCCGTGTTATGGAATCATGGTGGCCATTCTGCAGTGCAGATGGCTACTACTTCAACGTTGGCTGTGTAGCAAGACAATTGTTTTCCTCTTGTGCATGCCACTATCCTTTCTTTCTATATGTGCTTCTTCACACGTGTAAAGCGAAATGTATGACATGAGGAGCTTTTTGTGTGATCCACCTGCTCTTTTTTCTGCGGGGCTTGGTTGCATGGGGAAATGTGGTGACTTTGTGATGTATGTTATCATCTTACTGTACCAAAGCTGTTGAATCAAACGCCATAAGTGAAAAGGTATCAGGGTTAATATCTGTCATGATGGAAGTCGATTTTTCAATAGGATTTACAGTTGAAAAGTCTGGTCTTGTGGATGTTATAAATGGGGTGGAGAAACTAAACCGTTTGAGAATGTTAATTTTAAAAGTCTTGTTCTTATTGCCCAGTAAGCATCTTGTAACCTAAAAGTTCTGTTGTTTATGCTCATTGCTGCTGTGTATTTTCTTTCTTGGGCTCCAGCACCCACCATTTCTCAGCAGGGGTTGTTGTCTAGCACAGTTGGGGGAACAGTGACCTTGTCATATGTAACTTTGAAGAGTGTTAAACTATGAAGGAAAGAGCAGTGCATTTCTGTTATGTTTAAGTTAATGTAAAATGCAAAAATGCCAGATTTATCTTGAATGGTGCTTATGGATATACAAGAAGTAGTCTTCTTTGAGGTGGGTGAGTAACAGAAATCTACTATTTTCTGTTCTTACCTAGGAACATGCATTTGAGAGCAGTCAGAAATACAAAGAAGGAAAATTCATCATCGAACTGGCCCACATGATCAAAGACAATGGCTGGGAGTAAATTGGAACACCACTTTCTTTATGGACAATTAATCTGTGGAACATGCTTTATAAAAGACTAATGCAAAAAGGATTATGGTTGGGGCAGTTGAGAAAATGACTTCATTTTTGAAACCTCCAAACTAAGTAGTGTAATTTTGTGGCTTTTTTCTCCCCAAGGCCATCTTTTGCCTTTTTCTCTTTATGTATATTCCCTTCTTTTTGTATATGTATTCTTATGTATTCTTGTGTGAAGAGTTGCTTTGGATTAACTTTTTCTAAAAATTCTAGAGGAATAAGTCCCTAATTGCAAATTAGTTTTGCTGGCTAGTATCTCTCTCTCTCTCTCTCTCTTTTGACCAATGCCTTTAAATGCTCCTTCTGCTGTGCATGCTTTTTACCTGTCACTTGCCCCAGAGTCTTGGAGGAGGCCTGTGTGAATGGTTTTGGAGATAATGTGTGGGATAGACATGTATTTTATACATTTCTCCCCATACAGAGCAATTTCTGTGGTTTCTTTGCAGTGAAAAAAGACACAGTATTCTAGTAACTGTTATTACTTCTAAAAAAGATATTGTCTACTGCAACCTGTGTAAATTGGAAGGTTCAGTCAGTTGTACTGGCTGCTGTTAGTAAATATTTGTTTTTGTATAACAAGAGAGGAAGGGAGGGGGGTGACCAATGATTTACAAGGATAACAAAGAAGACAGTAATTCTGTAGAGCAGATTATCTAAATCAGTACATTCCTAAGAAAGCTTAAACTTTGTTCTTTTTAAGGAAGAATGTCTAGCAAAGTCTACAAGAATATGAAGCAAAATATGCAGCTCCTATTTTTAATATATCAGTGTGAAATGTTTTTGGTACTGTACCTTTAACAGGGACAAGTACACCCATTGTGTTTTATGGCTGGTTCCATGTAGCTGTATAGTTTTAATGCACTGGACAAAGAGGTTGATATCAGTGAAGTGTTCTGCTGTTGCAGTACTTAAAACACACCATATTATTTTTGTGTACGTGTGAAAAGTGGCCAGAGCCTATAGATGTTACTCTGCCTGCAAGAGGTTGGAAGTTGGTGAGCAGGTAAGAAAGTGACAAATTGACTTAATTTCTTCCTAATAAAAAATGTAGCATGGTAGTTTTTTAAAAAGGGTGTCTGATTTGCTGGCTGAATCATCCCTAAGCACGTTTTTATAATACACAGTTACGTGAAAGAAACATCAACTTCGTAATTTTTCCCAGCCGCTGCTTTGAAGTGGGGTAACTCAACCAGACACTTCCACAATATGTATATGTGTGCATAGTTAATTTAAAGGAAGATTTATGCACACTGTTTCAAGAGATTTTGACATCTTTTTTTTTCTTGCATTGATTTTTGTTCTAAAATTTATTAGAAGCAAAATGTATGGGAGAATGTTATACATTAACACTACTTCAACTGCTGATAGCATGAATTGTATGGAAAGCCTTACAGTAGACACTTTGTTCCTTTCTAACATAACTCCTAGATGTCATAACAAAGCTTTGCATTGTCTTTCCTTCTAGCTGTTTCTAACATCCTCGAATAGGCTTTCAAATCTATACTGCACTTTACTTAAATCTTTGTTGTAAAAGTAGGGCTAATCTTCCACTGAAGATTAATTTACCCCACCCCTATTCTGGTTGAGAAATTCTTTCCCAAATATACCATGTATGATTACACTGTGATGAAAAAAAAAGAATATTGGATATATCTATTTAAATGTGTGTGTGTATATAGTTACCTCTTAGGCATTCAAATCCAAAGAGCTGTACTAGGAACAGCTAGATTCAGATCTTGTTTTGCTGAATGACCTTATTCTGGTGCTTTATTTAATATGAATGAGTTTTTCGATCCATAAACCTTCAGCCCTACTACTTGATATTAAGTGCAGTGGAACCAGGATTCATCTTGAGTTGTATCTAGACAGCAGTAGTTTCAGTCCCCGTAGTTGTACTGCAGAAGGCTGAAGTACCTCAAAGGGAAGGTACATCTTTACCTAGTGAATAGGCTAGGGCCCATAGAGGGTACCGTCGCTCCCGCTGCCAGTACAGATTCTTCAGATCCCCTTGGCTGAGAAGAGCTCAGCAAGGAAAAGAATGCAGGCTGTCGCATGTATTCTCTGAGTTTGTGACACTCGGAAACATCAGTCTAGTGTGCTCTGTCTAAATACCAGTAACTCAAAACTTAATTTGACTTCCTGCATATCACATTGTTGCTTTTTGGCCATAACAATAAAGAACTTGAACTATCTTCCCTCTGGTACAGTATCCACTGCCAACAATGAATGTACTGAAATTGTAAGCATTCAGGCGCTGTTGGCTTACAGTGCTAGCTATAACTAGTACCAGCTATGAAAGTGTTCAGAGAAGCACAGCTTCTTCATTAGTATGGCTGTTCCTGTGATGTGCTTCTCTCACTTCTGCTCTTAATAATCAGGGGAGAAATCTAAGGTTCCCTGAGCATGAAAGAGAAATTTGGGAGGAGGGGACTGTTTGAGTAGTTCAACCTCTTTATCAGTGCATTATTTATATTTCAGGCCTAAATGACTTTGGGTCAAACTTCGTGTTGCATGCAAAGATGTAGATGTAGCCTTTTTTGAGGCTGAAAATCCACCTTTGGTGATCTGAGAGTGGAGCAGAATGAAGTGTGTGGGGGGGTGTTGTGTCCTTTCCAAATTCCATTTCCAAGCTGCTTTCTCACTATCGTTTTTCAGTTGCATGTTTGCATTTATGTGAGCGTGGGGGAAGCTGTGAGTGTTGGAGATGGAGCAGAGAAAGAGCTGAGGCCATCTTCCCTTGATGGTGTTCTTATTTCGACCAACATTCCCCATACTATTTGAGAGGGAAAAACGGGAAATCTCCCCTCAGCCTTTGCATGGAATTGTGTAGTTTGGTACCCAGAATTCATGAGCATGGAAATCTTCATCAAAACATTTTGTTTAATGTAGATGCCAAAAAAACAAGATTAAAAAAAAACTGGCACCTGGAGTATCAGATTATGGGGTAGGAATCTAGTGCAAATCATTTGTGGAGATAAAGCATTAAAAAAACCAAATAGAGCAATATTTTTATGGATTTTGACAGAAAAGAATTTTAAATCTAAAACTGAGACTATAAATATATCAGTAGCATCCCATATTAGATACCTGTAGGTAAGTGAACTCTTACTTGGCATAGCAGACAGTTCTTTAAATCTGGGTGCTTCAGTCTGACAATTTAAATGAAAAGTAGAATCCAGAACCTGCTGGATGTTGATTGATGCATAAAAGATCAGTCTGGTTACTGAACTTTCCAGAATTACATAAAAACATTAATACTTGAAGAACATTTTCAAAGCATTTTCCCTCTAACCATATTTTGTAACGTAATGTATTTAAAGTTTTGTGTTTTCTTTCTGGGTCAGTATGCGCTTTCCCCTTCAACTTGAGCACTTTTGTTATCTGTTTTATTTTTGTTACTGTTGGTCTTAACATTTATTTTATATATCTATATTTTTTATAAATTGTAACAGCAGTTTTTTCGTGAACATTTATGTGTTACCTACTAGGTTTTGTTTTCCTTTTTGGACTAGATGAACTGACTACAAGCTGGTTCTTGGGGAGAATGTTCATTGGCACATCCAGAAATGTGCTAGCAAAATGTACATATGTTGAAGTGTGTGTGTGTGTGTGTTTGAACTCAGTAGCCATGATTATCATAAAACAAGCAAACAATGTGACATGGCTGAGGGCCAGTTCAAGCAGTCTAAAAATCTCTGTGTTGCTCATCCAACATGGACACAGTCATGACAAGCACCGAGGAAGTAAACACCGATCACATGGTCGCGTCAGATCAGACGTGACTTTCACTGTGCATCTTGTATCCACAAGGGCGCTTTGTGTGAAGCATTTTTGTGCATCTGGATTAACCCAGATTCTTTTGGTGTGAGCGTTAACAATAATGAGAACTGATTTTATGTGGCTGTAATTTCTTTCAGGCTAATAGCTATGGATCCCTTTTAACTGTTGGAAAAGAATTCCACCCTTACAGCATATAAAGCTGCGACCATTCACTGCTTGTCCTGGATTAGAGCTTCCCTTTTAGCTTCCCCACTCTTGTTATACATATGGATTTGACATGCTGTGTTATTGCCATGAATCCATTATGTAGCAAAATCCAGAGCAATCCGCTAACCTCAGCATATTATAGAATGAGGCTAGAGCATTATTTTTAATCTTGCCTAGTTTATCTGTACTATATTGTGACTTTTAAGATGTGGCAGCTTTTTAAATTCCCAATGTGTCTCTAAATTGCTCTAGTACTTGTATCAATTTTAGGTCATCCAACTGTGTGACAAACACTGTTACTGAAAAATCACTGGTGCCAGAGAGCCTCAGACCTCAAAAGCTTACCTTTTGAGGAAAACGACAGCCTATATCGGACCATTAATATATATGTCACCAGCATTAACTGGGAGTACCATTTTTATTTCTAATGCACCTGAAATGTGAGGTTTACAAATTCTGGTTTTCATTTTTTTTTTTCAAATAAACTGATAATCTACAATAGTAAAAAGTTTTATGTTGATATACCCAGATAGCCATGCATTAACCTCCAGCTTGTATATTCGGGTGAGAATGGAAGGAAGCGTTCAAGTTAGTATTGAGCAGGATGATATACTGTACCCTTAGTATAAAAACAACCAACAGCATATGTTGTAAAGAATGGATTTCACAGAAGCAAGCTGAGTTTTAGATGGCCATTGGCTTGTGTCTCATTGGTGGAACACTTTTAAAATGTTTTCTTTTGCAGCTGATGTGGCTTTTTTTTCCTGTTTTTTGTCCCAGCAATACTGTACACAATTTCTTGTTTCACTTTATTGTATCTTTTGAGGTATTACAATAAAAACTTTAAGTTGTTTTGTTGAATGAATTTTGTGTTGCTTTTTCTCCTTTGAAAATATAGGGAAGAATTGCATAAAACTGTCCAGCTTTTGTTAAAATCTTCCCTAAAACACTGCTTTGGTTATTTGAACAAGTTTACTGTTTTCCTAGAGCCTGCAAATATTATAGTTTTGGACTACAAATCCCATAGTTGGTTAGAGGATATTGGGAGTTTTAGTGCAAAAAGTCATAGGCCTAGGCTCTGTTCTTCATGGTTCCTTTCGTGTCTGCACAAATGACCTTGGAACCTTCCAGAGCCTAAGAAAAGTGTTAAGACATGCACACTCCACTGTGCATGCTCCCTATCCCACATTGAGCCCTCAGTTCCATTTCTGTCTCCACTGAGAGAACACCAAGGAGCTTTCTCAAAGCCATCACATTTTCCTCCATTCACTAAAGCTTGTATATAGTCCTTTTTACCGTATTTTTTGCTCCATAAGATGCACTTCCCCCCCAAAAAAGTGGGGGGGAGTGGGTGCATCTTATGGAGGGAATACTGTCCCCCCACCACCACCGCTGCCTTCTGAGGACTCTGGAGGCCTCAGAAGGTCCCGTGGGAGTTCCCACCCTCCACTATTGCTGGCTTCTGAGGACCCCTGGGAGGCTTCGGACCGGTAAGGTGCTGCTTTTTACTTTTTTAAAAAAATGTTCTGGGTGGGTTTTGGAGGGTAGGTTTGGGCTGGGGGTTATGTTTCTATGTTACTTTGTTTTTTGGTGATTTTTTTTTGGCAGTCCCACCATGGGACTTGCTCCATTTATTTATTTTTATTTTTATTTTATTTTTTTGGTTTTTAAAAATTAGGTGCTGCCTTTTACTTTTTTTAAAAAAATGTTGTGGGTGGGTTTTGGATGATAGGTTTGGGCTGGGGAGGGGTCTGTTTCTATGTTACTTTTTGGTGATTTTTTTTTTGCAGTCCTAGCATGGGACTTGCTCTGTTTATTTTATTTTATTGTATTAAAAAATTAGGTGTGTCAGATGCGTCTTATGGAGTGAAAAATATCATAAATCTTTTGTCCTATCGTAGAATCATCATAGGGTTGAAAGGGAACTTGGAGGTCTTCTAGTCCAACCCCATTCCCAAGGCAGGAGACCTCATACCATCCCGGACAGATGGTGGTCCAATCTTTTCTTGAAAACCTCCAGCCGTGGTGCACCCACAGCATCTGGAGGCAAGCTGTTCCACTGCTTAATGGTTCTCACTGTCAGGAAATTTCTCCTTATTTCCAGGTCTGACGAATTTCCACCCATTGGTCCTTGTCCTACCCTCAGGCGCAATGGAGAATAAATTGATGCCCTCTTTCCTGTGGCAACCCTTCAGATACTGGAAGACTGCTATCGTGTCCCCCCTCACCCTTCTCTTTGTTAAGCTAAACATAGCTAATTCTTTTAGTCATTCGTCATAGGATTTAGCCTCCAGTCACCTTATCATCTTTGTTGCTCTTCTCGGCACCCCTTCCAGGGCCTCAGCATCTTTTTTGTACTGTGATGACCAGAACTGGACACACCATCCCAAGTACAGCCTCACCAACGTGGTATAAAGTGGGACTATCACTTCCCGTGATCTTGATGCTATTCCCCTGTTAATGCAGCCTAGGACTGTATTGGCTTTTTTGGCAGCTGCAGCATACTGCTGACTCATCCTTTAGCGGTGGTTCACCAGGACATCTAAATCCCTCTCACAGGTACTACTGTCGATCCAGGTACCACCTATCTTGTACCTATGCATCTGGTTTCTCCTGCCTAAGTGCAGGACCTTACTTTTCCCACCACTGAACTGCATCTTATTGAATAGGGCGCAGTGTTCAAGTTTGTCTAGAGGGATCCTTCTGAAACTTCCAAAGTATTAGCAAATCCCCCCAGCTTTGTGTCATCAGCAAATCTGATGAATGCACCTTCAATCCCCTCATCCAGGTCATTTATGAAGAGCTCTGGGCCCAAGACAGAACCTTAAGGGACCCCTCTGCACACCTCCCTCCATGTAGATGTGGTTCCATTGAGGACCTCATGTTGAGTGTGGTTGGTCAGCCAGCTGCAAATCCACCTGGTAGTTACACTGTCTATCCCACTTTGTTCTTTCTTACGCAGAAGTAGGTTGTGTTCTACATTATCAAATGCCTTACTGAAGTCTAAATATACTATATCCACTGCATTTCTTTGGTCTGTTACTTTAGTCACTTTATCAAAGAAGGCAATAAGATTTGTTTGGCAGGACCTGTTCTTAGCAAACCCATGCTGGCTTCTAGTAATCACCTTGTTATTTTCTAGGTGCTCACAAATCTGCAGCTTGATTATTTTTTTTCCAGCATTTTCTCAGGTATTGATATCAAGCTGATTGTTCTGTAGTTTCCTGGATCCCCCCCCCCCCCCTTTTGAAGACTGGAAACACATCAGGTCTTTTCCAGTCCTCTGGCAGTTTGCCAGTGCTCCAGGACCTCTCAAAGATTTCATTCAGTGGTTCCGAGATCACATCTGCCAGTTCTCTTAGTACCTTGGGATGTAAACCATCCGGTCCAGGAGACTTAAACTCTTTCAAAGCAGCTAGGTGTTCTTTTACCCCTTCCTTACCTATTTTGACCTGCTTCCCTCTCCTGTCTCCCACACTGCTGCTTTTGACAGGTGGACCAGTTTTTCCTTTTGCATAAATACAGAGAAAAAGCATCAAGCAGTTGCACTTTCTCCCTGTTGCCTTGTCACCTTAATGTCATTTTCTCCTACTAGTGAACCAACCATTTCCTTGACTTTCTTCTTGCTCCTTACATGTTGAAAGAAACTTTGTTGTTATTTTTGGCATTTGTTGCAAGTCTTAGCTCATTCTGAGCCTTAGCCTTCCTGACTCCATCCTGGCAGATTCAAGCTACAGTGGTGCCTAGTAAGATGATTGCCTCGCGGGATGATTAATCTGCAAGACGATGGGTTTTTGCAATCGCTGTTGCGCTTCTCAAGACAGTTTTTCCTATGGACGATTTTCGCAAGACGATGTTTGGGTCTATGCTTCTCAAGACTGTTTTTTTTTTTAGTCCGATGCTTTGCAAGACACCCCCCCCATTAGAACACATTAAATAGATTTCAATGCATTCCAATGGGGTACCGCATTTTGCAAGACAATGTTTTCTATGGATTATTTTCGCAAGACGACAATTTTTAACCCCATTGGAACGCATTAAATAGATTTCCGCGCATTCCAATGGGGAACCCGCGTTTCGCAAGACAATGTTTGCGCAAGACATTGATTTTCATGGAACGAATTAACATCGTCTTGCGAGGCACCACTGTATTTGCTGCTATTCTGTTCTAGTTATGAGCCCCCTTTTCAGTTTTTTATATTTATTCTTTTTGTCCCTTAGCTTGCCCTCTCCTTGTTCTTCGTTGCTCATTCTACAAAACAAAACAAACTTTAGAGACTTCTTATTTGCTTAGTCGCCCTCTGTTAACCACTCTTCCCTTTTTTATGGCCTTCCTAGGCCCATTCAAAAAGTGTGTTAGCTGTAACAACAAAATCCTCCTCGCTGATGGCCTCTCCAAGCGTCTGTACTACAGAGGGGCATCAAGTGCAAAGTTGTTCTATCTGCTACAAATTTGCAAAGGTTGCCAAAGAGCTGGCAGTTTTGCTTGAAATAGTATTTGTGGGATAAATCATTACAGGCATTGGCTATGATAGCCAAATATACCACTTCAGTTCCTTAATGTAATTTGTAGTGTCCTCCAAACAAGCTGGTATGGAGGTACTTCAAACAGACACTTTTGCTAAAGCCATCAAGGATCCACCCTCTCAGTTACCACGCAGGCAGTTAAAGCCATTCCTTAATACTGAGGATAGGCCTTGACCAAAAAACACAAAAAATACAAATAATAGTGCTTTACTATACACTGAATTCTACCGTGCACCTCATACCCACAGGGTTGTTGTTTAGAGGCTTTCCCCTTTCCTTTCACTAATACAAATTCAACAAATCTACCCCAAATAGCATTAAAATTATTTGAACTTATTTCCCCTCTTTTCATCTTGAGTTCACTAGTCAATTTATCATTTAATGCAATGTCTCATACTTCACCATATCAGTCTTCTAATTTAATATCATTTTT